ATACATACATGCATACATACATACATAGTATGTTAGTATATATATATATATATATATATATATATATATATACACGCATATATGTATATATATATACACACATATGTGTGTGTATATACACATGTGCATATAGATATACATGTGTGTGTATATATCAACATATATACATGTATATGTATATATATATAAATATATATATATATATATATACACACACACACATATGTGTATATATATATATATATATATATATATACACACATAAATACACATGTGCATATATATACATGTAGGTATATATTAATATATATATATATATATATATATATATATATATATATATATATATACTTTTAATATTTATATTTTTATATATATATACTATATATATATGTATATATGTATATGTATATGTATATATATATATATATATATATATACATATATATATATATATATATATATATATACACACACACACACACACACACACACACACACACACACACACACACACACACACACACACACATACATCTTATCCATGCATAATTAGGTTGCCACTAACCCTTATATATTTTGCTCAGGTTTAAAAGTTTAAAAATGCAAACTTGATAAATTTAACTAGGAAGTTCTTGCCTAACTAAATGCGAAAAATTCAACAGTTTTTTATAAGAAAAAAATGAAAAAAAATAATAATGAAAAAATATAAAGATTTTTTTTTTTTTTCAATTAAAGTTCTTATTATGTAAATAATAACTTCTAAAGCCCTCTGTTGATGTATGGATTGAAGTATGTACAGTTTCCTGTTTTAGTATGACATTAAACTAGAGTTTAAGTGAAAAAAATTAAAGCACTCACATATACTCACATCATACCAAAATATGTTCAAAAAAATCTAATGTTATGAATAAACATGTAGTTTTTTATGTAATACTTTTTCAGTATTTATGTTACTATTTATTTGTTGAATTTGTTCTGCAAAAGTAAAATATGTTGCCTCATCTCTTTTTTCAAGAATTTCTTAGAATTTTTGTTAGAAAGTTGTTTCTATGACAACATTTTTTTTTTTTGCTTTTTAAGTTGTTTTATAAATGTTGTTATTTTTTTTTTACATTTTGAACAAAATTTTTAGGAGATTAGATGTGAAAATAACAATGAAACTAAAACTGATATGAAGAATGTTTGTGAGGATTCAAAAAAAATGACAGCAACAAAGGTAACTGAAGTTCGGCAAGTTGCAAAAAAATCAACAGGGGCAAAAGCGCATGCTTATATGAGTCATCGGGGGAAATTTTTTATGACACAAAGACTTGATGCAGGTTTGTTGAATTTATGTTTTGTAAACTGTTTATTATTGAATAAAAGCATATACCTTTACATGTGCACATGTCTAATTAGAAGAATAGAGAATTAGAAATCTCTTTAATGTCATTTTAAAAAATTGTTATTATTTAAAATGTTGTTTCATGTATTTTAAAAATATATGCCAATATAATTTATATTTAAATTATTTAATATCATACATATTTTCCAATATAAAATAAAAAAAAAGAATATATTCAATACCCCACATTACATTTGTACATACTGTCCTGGTCATGACGTTAAACTAATTTTTTAATTTGCAGGCAAAGTTCTTGTGGTAAAGGCAATTTACCACAAAAGCTTCACCTGCTAATTTTAAAATTTAGATCAATTTCTAAGCACAACTAAATTGTGCTTAGAAGTTGTTTATTTATGAAAAAAAATGACACAAAAATTAAGAAGGTATTTTAGAATGGTGTTATTTAATAAAGTTACACTTTATCTAATTCTATCAAACTATGCACACAAATATTTATGTATATTATTAACTTCTGGAACTTCAGAAAGGGCTTTTATTACTGCTGGTAATGTCGTCACTGCCAGAAGAATTACATTTGCAGTTGAAAATGTTTACTACTGCTGGTAATGTCATCACTACCAGAAGAATTCCCTTTGAAAATGTTGAGATTATTTTATGAAAGAAAACATTTTAAAAATAAAAGTTAATAGTTTTCTTTTTAAATTTTTAAAAGATCAAAGAACAATTCAAAGTGAATTGAAAAAATTAAATCATAAGTGTCAAGTTTAAAATTGAATAAAAAAAAATCAAATAAATAAAATCTCAACTGCGTGTCCTTAATTACGACTAAGGGTTGGAGAAGCTTGTGATCTTAGTATGTCACTATATAATACTCATTTCTGATCTGCAAAACAGGTTAACTCAATAAAGGTTCTTATGGTATTTATGTAATACTATGTAATGTTACATAATAAAATAAAAATACTCAGTTCTGATCAGCAACAGGTTAACACAATGAAGGTTCTTACGGTATTTACGTAATGTTGTATTTAAGTAAGAAAAAGTCATCACCACTCAAGCGTTGGACAATCAAATTAAACATAACTGTATTTATCGTTACCAATATTTACCAGTTTTTTGAAGAAAAAAAAAAGAGATTAAAAAAAAAAATTTCAAAATAAAGTATAACTCATTAATTTGATTTTTTGTTTGTTTTTATTTTGTAATTCTACAAAAAACAGCGACATATCCAGGACGATTTTGATGCCGGTATACCGGTATGAGCACCTAAATTTCTGCCCAAACTCAATTTAAAATAATTTTATATTTCAATTTTGTGTATATACTATATTGACTTAGTATAAAAATCTGTATTTAGCAGCTGGTAATAATACACATAAATATTGTGACCGCTTATCAACAAGGCATCTTTATCAAAATGATAACCAAATGTTTATACTGGATGCAAAATCATATGGTAATGTTGGTCGTTATATGAATGTAAGTTTTTTAGATATGTTGTTTTGTTATTATAATTTTGTTATCAAAGTACTCATTTACAAACCTTGCTGCTTCAACATAAAAGTAATACAAATGTTGCTTTGTTATATAATAAAATTTAAACCGTGTTGAAGGCAAATTATTGTGTGTACTTCTTAACTTTTTTTTACAAACTTATAGAATTGTATTCTAATCTTGTCATAAATGCTTTTGACTTTTAATCTTGTCATGCAGTTTGACCTTTTTACTCATTCAGATTAGGTGAGATATAAAAAAAGTGGTAATCACCACTTTCAACTTAAAACTATGATATAAAGGCAGACTTTAATTTAACTTTAATTAATTAAAAATACAAATGTAAGTTTATTTTCAGAAATAATATTACTGCAAATACATTTGCAAAAATACCATTTGAATTTTTTACCTTGATTTACCTATAGTTCTTCATTGCTCTGTAAGATAATGATTTTTTGATTTATTTATAGATTATATTTATATTTTATTAAAGAAATTTTTTAATAAAATATAAATATAATCTACAAATAAATCAATACATAAATATATATATATATATATATATATATATATATATATATATATATATATATATATATATATATATATATATATATATACATATATATATATATGTATGTATATATATATATATGTATATATATATATTTATATATATATGTATATATATATATATATATTTATATATATATATATATATATATATATGTATATATATATATATATATATATGTATATATATATATATATGTATATATATATATATATATATATATATATATATATATATATATATGTATATGTATATATATGTTTATGTGAATATATATTTATACATATATATATAAATGTATATATATATGTATATATATATGTATACATAAATATATATATATATATATATATATATATATATATATATATATATATATATGTATGTATGTATATATATATATATGTATGTATATATATATTTTATAATTATATTGTTTGAATTACATAATATGTCATTTAATTATATAATTTTTATTCTTTTTAGTTTATAAATATAGCACTTTTTTTTTTTTTAATATTTTTATTTTAATTCACCTCCTCAAGGCCGAGAAGGCCACTACAGACGAGGAGGCTACTTATTTGTGGTTATAACCCTCTCTCAACTCTATAACTCCGAAACACGAACCTTGACGAGCAAGGCCGCAGTGCGGAGAAACGAGTTGAGCGCGGTACTACCAGGGACGTGGTGGGGATCCAACTCGGAACCACTCGTTTATGAAGCAAGCGCTCTACCACTACACCACTACCGCATTACCACTACCGCATTACCACTACACCACTACCGCATATATATATATATATATATATATATATATATATATATATATATATATATATATATATATATATATATGTATGTATGTATGTATATATATATATATATATGTATATATATATATATATATATATATATATATATATATATATATATATATATATATATATATATATATGTATGTATATATATATTGTATAATTATATTGTTTGAATTACATAATATGTCATTTAATTATATAATTTTTATTCTTTTTAATTTATAAATATAGCACAGTTGCAGTCCAAATCTTTTTGTGCAAAATGTAATGGTTGATACTCATGATCTCCGCTTTCCATGGGTGGCATTTTTTACACTATTGTAAGTCTAATTGAAAAAGTTTTCATAATATATCAAAGAAATATATAGGCAATATCTTGAAACTATCAATCTATGTTGTTTAAGCATATTGCTAATTATAGACTTGATTGTTTTTATTTTATTGGTCGTTAAACGGATATTTACAACACAAAGAGATAATAAACTCTCTCAATATCTTTTTGTTAACATTTATGTGAAATTAAGTTTGTTGTTGTTGTAAACACCGGCGTTGATATTTGAGTGGGGCTGGGGCTGGGTTTGTGACCAGGGCTGCATAAACATTTATACATCCTAAAGTATAATTTTTTTATTCAAAATCTATGTTATATTTTTTTATATATATGCATATATAAACATCATTATGATCAACATGATCATCATTATCATCATCTTCTCTTTCGGCAAATACTACATATAAATACTAAAGTTTATACTATAATAATTTAAAAAATATTTGTTGAAATAACATAGCCTTATTTGTTAAGATAAAATTAACTTATTTATTATTGTCTTTGAAAAAGTTTATTTCAAGTAAACTATTTAAATGTAGTTTAAGTGTTTAAACAAATATATAAACTTAAAAGACAAGCTGTAATTTTAAAAGGTTTTCTAATTAGACCTGAAGACAGGTAGTCAGAACTGGATCCAACGCCAGATGCCCTTATTCTAGTTTATGTTATAGCCCTGGCTATAACCCCAGCTAAATCTTATAGTTTAGCCGGGGCCGGGCTTGAAAATTTTCTCACTTTTGGGCAAGCCTGGGGCCCCGGTCACTTACTATGTTGTTGCCATATGTTTAAATTTGTTTTATGGGTGTGAATATGCTTTGAAAAAATTTAAATTCAAACATTAGAAATAATTTGTTATTAAATTATTTTATGAATTAACTAGAATTTAACACAGCAGTTTTTAAAACTAGAAATAATATTGACAAAAAAAACTTTTCCAATTTTACTCTAAAGTATTGAAACTAGCTTTTATTAAATTTAGCATAAATATATTTACTTTCTATTTATTATACAATAGTAATCATGTGCTAATATGGTGGAAATTATACAGGTGAAATTTCATCTATTGTTAAATAGAATTATTCATAAATTTATTTATCAATAAAATTTATTTATCTTCTAATGTCTTTTATTTATCAATAAAAGACATTAGAAATAGATGTAACTGCATTTCCAGTTGCAGTAAGAAATTTTGAAAATAAAAATTATTTTAAAGTTTTTAACTTTAGGACTGCAATAATCTAAAGGTTAAAAAATAGTTCCCCTAATAACTTAAAAGGTTCTGATTTAAAAATGGCTCCCATATTAATTTAAAAGGTTCTTATTGAAAAATAGCTTCCATAATTTTTAAAAAATTTTTCTTTTAAAAGTTTTTTAAAAGTAAATTAAAAAATCAAAAAGAATTGGTAACTTTAAAAGTGTTTTAATTAATTTGGTATATTTGTTGTTATTGTTAACATCATCATTAATATATAATAATAATAATAATAATAATAATAATAATAATAATAATAATAATAATAATAATAATAATAATAATAATAATAATAATAATAATAATAATTATTATTATTATTATTATTATTATAATTACTTACAGTTAAACTGTGCTTCTTACTCTTCTGCAATCTGTCTTTCTGCTCAGGTTTGATTTTTTTTCATCTTCAGCTTGTCAAGGACTTTTTCTTAGTCTGCAGGTCTTGACCTGTTTTCTTGGATTTAATTTAAAAAAATAATTTTTAAAATGTTGGTCTTCCTCACGAACTTGCTTTATATGTTGTATCAGGGATAGTCATTTTTTTCTAACCAACAGGTTATTTTTTTTCTATCAGGTTATTTTTTTCTGACTTCTTTATTACATAAGGTAATAACACAGTGCTGTAGAGACTCCAATATTAATGAATAGCAAACGTCTCATTGAGTCCTCCTCTTTACGTGTTTTTGGATTATTGTTAACTACTGACCCCTCATGTAAACCATATATGAAATCAATTGCTAAGTTAGCATCTAAGGTAGCTTTTTTTTATCGTGCTCACCATCATCTTACTCCTTTATCTCATTATCTTTTTATGTCCATTATTTTCTATCTACCTCAGGGTTAGGGTTTTTTTCTTACACCATCTTTCTTATCTCGTTTATCTTACCTATACTGCCATTATCTTACTCTTCTAATTCTATTCTCTGCCTCTGCAAATCTCTTATTTGGCCCTTTTTTTGTTGCTATGTTTTTTCCCTTTAAGAAAAGGTCTAAAAACACATTGTAAACCTCGCTGGTCCTGCTTTATTTGCCAAGCTTGAAACTCTCTCCCATCGTTTTACAATTGAATATTTTCCTTTTTATGGCTGCTGCTCAAATTAGCTATCATCTCTAATTCCATCAACCAAAACTCATTCTCGCTCGACTCGTCATTCAGGAAAGTCTCTTTACTGTATCTCTTTCGTATGTTCTAAAAACTTTTGTCTAGTTTTTTTCCCGCACCTCAACCCTTTTGAACTCTTTCCCAAGTTCATGTTTTGCTAACTCATACAACTTAGAACTTTTCAATCGATTCCTTATTTTAACTCTTTTTTCTTTAGTTCTTTGTTTTCTAATAACAAACTTTAAAGTGGTTGCTTGCAGTCTTTTTAGGAGCGAATTACAATTAATAAAAAATGTTCTGTCAAATTTTTCATTTCTCATTAGACTATTTTGGTGAAGATACAAACTTGTTACACTTCAAAAAAAATTTTTTTTTTTTTTTTTTTTTTTTTTTTGCAAAGAATATTTTATCTATTGACGCAACAAATATCTTTTTCTGTTTTATTTTGTTTTGTTTACACTAAAGTTGTAAAAAAGGTGAGAAAAGTTGTGGAAGAGGTTAAAATGGTTGCTAACTGATTTTTTAAGTTCCGTTTTTATTATATTGTGACCCTGAGTTTTTTATGTCTTTGGAGGGTCACGCGTGTCGTTTAAAAGCACACTTTGTACTCATTTTTATATATAGATTTTTATATTTTTACTTTTAGTAACATTCCGGCATACACTGAATTAACATGGGATTATAACTACGAAGTCGGTAGCGTTCCAAACAAGCATCTGTCTTGCAAATGCGGTTCTAAGCAATGTAAAGGCAGATTACTTTGATATTTATAGCAATATTTATAATAGACATTTTTATAAAATAATCTACAAATTGTTTTAACTTTGACATCAATGTAACAAAAATTATAGCTTTTATATCACTTAACATTTTATATGTGACTGTTAATCCTGAGCATATGTTGTATTTAATCTAATTGTATCAAATAAATTCTAAAAGCAAATTTAATGTATTAGTAATTTAGGTATATTAAATCTCATGAATATAGGTATATTAAATCTCATGAATAAAGATGTATTTAATATCAGATTAAAACTATAAGTTAGTTTTTAACTTTTTCAATAAATTCTCTCAAAAACATTTACTATTTCAAACTCTGCAATTACCTGAAATTTCACTGAAAAGAATCAATCGTTATAATATTGAGAATAAACAAAAAATGTGCGAATGTACCTTTAGTATTGAGAATAAACAAAATATTGTGTGAATATACCTTTCAAAATTGAGAATGAACAAAACATTGTCTGAATGTATCATTATTATTGAGAATAAACTAAATATAGTGTGAATGTACCTTTCAATATTGAGAATAAACAAAATATTGTGCGAATGTGCCTAGGAGTCTTTTTACTTAAAGGACACTGGTAGAATAAGTATACAACTACGTAATATAAAAATAATAAATATGGTTTCACACATGTTAAAATGTGGAAGAGACATTCTAGATGGTAAACCTGCCATATCTTATTACCAAATTATTTAAGCTGTAAAAGTCTTTTTTAATTTTTTACTTGAAAATAATGTTTGCATTTTATCAAAAATTAATCCTGAAGATTGATCTTTTATAAAATCAAGATAAATTAAGCTATTAAAATTAAGCTATGATTTCTAACAAATTCTTATCTTTAGGTTATTTAACCCTTATCTGAATATTTCTCAAAAACAAATTATTATATAGTTATAAAAGAAAAATAAAAAAATATAGTGTGTATAAAGTATAAAATAAAATCGTATATAAAATAATAAAAATCAAAAAACAAAATCGAACATTCAGAAGTCAAAAAAATATATCAGTTAGCTATTTTAAAATATAATAAAGAATTTTTTTTCAATTACTTAATAAACTTAGTAACTAAATATATATATATATATATATATATATATATATATATATATATATATATATATATATATATATATATATATATATATATATATATATATATATTCATGATTTAGAAGCAACTCTAACTTTTAATTTACTTTATTGTTGGGGTTGCCACAACTTGGCAACCCAGACAGCAAGCTTACATCGGCCCAACGTAAGTTTTCACGTTTACAAATTTATTTCATTTAGTTGTCTTTTTTTTTTTTCGGAGTAATATTTCAATTTTTCGCAAATATCCTATTATGCTGGGCCAACATTTCGCCAATGTAGTATCAGCTCAATATTTTTCTATAAAAATTACTCAAAATATTTATTGCTATAAAAATCATCTCAAAATGTAACTGTTTTTACGGTAATGCCGTAGCGCTGTTGAGCCAATATTTGGCTAATGCAGTTAAGGTAAGGACCAGCGAGTATTCGTTAAAATTTGGGTTACGAAGTTTACTGAAAAGCGAAGTTGACTTTGACTACGGTGCCGAAGTTGAAATATAAATTCGGCTTTCAGTTAAATTCGGTAAGAGTTTCAAAATTTCATTTAACTTTTTTGTTAAATTCGAAAGCTATTAACTTTCTCTCAGTTCAAATAGAAGAAGAGATATAAAATATATTACATGTTTTATGTATCTCAACCAGTTTTTGCGCGCAGTACCCTTGTTTGTCAAGGTTAAAAAGTGCTTCGGAATTAAAGAGTTGAGAGTGGGTTGTAACCAATATAAAAAGTAGCTTCTCAACTCAAGTCAAGGTAAAAAAAGAAAGAAAAACATGTTAGAAGTAAATTTGAGTCATATTCGAAAAGTTTTTTGTAGGCACTAAGTCTATTCATCACTTATTAATTCTTATTTATCGCTTTCAAAAAATCCTAATTGTACAAAACAGATGAATATTTAACCAAATATTCTTAACGATTTTTTCCTTTATAAAACTGACATTCGAAATTTTAGATTTTTTATTTCGACGCAAGCTGTTTTTTGTATTCGTATATTATTTTAATGTATAAAAATTACTTTGCTTCAAAGTTGCTATAAGAAGGTTACCTTATAAAAAGGTTACCTTATAAGAAGGTTACCTTATAAGAAGGTTACCTTATAAGAAGAAGGTTACCTTATAAGAAGAAGGTTACCTTATAAGAAGAAGGTTACCTTATAAGAAGAAGGTTACCTTATAAGAAGAAGGTTACCTTATAAGAAGAAGGTTACCTTATAAGAAGAAGGTTACCTTATAAGAAAAAGTTTACCTTATAAGAAGAAGGTTACCTTATAAGAAGAAGGTTACCTTATAAGAAGAAGGTTACCTTATAAGAAGAAGGTTACCTTATAAGAAGAAGGTTACCCTATAAGAAGAAGGTTACCTTATAAGAAGAAGGTTACCTTATAAGAAGAAGTTTACCTTATAAGAAAAAGGTTACCTTATAAGAAGAAGGTTACCTTATAAGAAGAAGGTTACCTTATAAGAAGAAGGTTACCTTATAAGAAGAAGGTTACCTTATAAGAAGAAGTTTACTTTATAAGAAGAAGGTTACCTTATAAGAAGAAGGTTACCTTATAAGAAGAAGGTTACCTTATAAGAAGAAGTTTACCTTATAAGAAGAAGGTTACCTTATAAGAAGAAGGTTACCTTATAAGAAGAAGTTTACCTTATAAGAAGAAGGTTACCTTATAAGAAGAAGGTTACCTTATAAGAAGAAGGTTACCTTATAAGAAGAAGGTTACCTTATAAGAAGAAGGTTACCTTATAAGAAGAAGGTTACCTTATAAGAAGAAGGTTACCTTATAAGAAAAAGTTTACCTTATAAGAAGAAGGTTACCTTATAAGAAGAAGGTTACCTTATAAGAAGAAGGTTACCTTATAAGAAAAAGTTTACCTTATAAGAAGAAGGTTACCTTATAAGAAGAAGGTTACCTTATAAGAAGAAGGTTACCTTATAAGAAGAAGTTTACCTTATAAGAAGAAGGTTACCTTATAAGAAGAAGGTTACCTTATAAGAAGAAGGTTACCTTATAAGAAGAAGTTTACCTTATAAGAAGAAGGTTACCTTATAAGAAGAAGGTTACCTTATAAGAAGAAGGTTACCTTATAAGAAGAAGGTTACCTTATAAGAAGAAGATTACCTTATAAGAAGAAGGTTACCTTATAAGAAGAAGGTTACCTTATAAGAAGAAGTTTACCTTATAAGAAGAAGGTTAACTTATAAGAAGTAGGTTACCTTATAAGAAGAAGTTTACCTTATAAGAAGAAGGTTACCTTATAAGAAGAAGGTTACCTTATAAGAAGAAGGTTACCTTATAAGAAGAAGTTTACCTTATAAGAAGAAGGTTACCTTATAAGAAGAAGGTTACCTTATAAGAAGAAGTTTACCTTATAAGAAGAAGGTTACCTTATAAGAAGAAGGTTACCTTATAAGAAGAAGTTTACCTTATAAGAAGAAGGTTACCTTATAAGAAGAAGGTTACCTTATAAGAAGAAGGTTACCTTATAAGAAGAAGGTTACCTTATAAGAAGAAGGTTACCTTATAAGAAGAAGGTTACCTTATAAGAAGAAGGTTACCTTATAAGAAAAAGTTTACCTTATAAGAAGAAGGTTACCTTATAAGAAGAAGGTTACCTTATAAGAAAAAGTTTACCTTATAAGAAGAAGGTTACCTTATAAGAAGAAGGTTACCTTATAAGAAGAAGGTTACCTTATAAGAAGAAGTTTACCTTATAAGAAGAAGGTTACCTTATAAGAAGAAGGTTACCTTATAAGAAGAAGGTTACCTTATAAGAAGAAGTTTACCTTATAAGAAGAAGGTTACCTTATAAGAAGAAGGTTACCTTATAAGAAGAAGGTTACCTTATAAGAAGAAGGTTACCTTATAAGAAGAAGATTACCTTATAAGAAGAAGGTTACCTTATAAGAAGAAGGTTACCTTATAAGAAGAAGTTTACCTTATAAGAAGAAGGTTAACTTATAAGAAGTAGGTTACCTTATAAGAAGAAGTTTACCTTATAAGAAGAAGGTTACCTTATAAGAAGAAGGTTACCTTATAAGAAGAAGGTTACCTTATAAGAAGAAGTTTACCTTATAAGAAGAAGGTTACCTTATAAGAAGAAGGTTACCTTATAAGAAGAAGGTTACTTTATAAGAAGAAGGTTACCTTATAAGAAGAAGGTTACCTTATAAGAAGAAGGTTACCTTATAAGAAGAAGGTTACCTTATAAGAAGAAGGTTACCTTATAAGAAGAAGGTTACCTTATAAGAAGAAGGTTACCTTATAAGAAGAAGGTTACCTTATAAGAAGAAGGTTACCTTATAAGAAGAAGGTTACCTTATAAGAAGAAGGTTACCTTATAAGAAGAAGTTTACCTTATAAGAAGAAGGTTACCTTATAAGAAGAAGGTTACCTTATAAGAAGAAGGTTACCTTATAAGAAGAAGGTTACCTTATAAGAAGAAGGTTACCTTATAAGAAGAAGTTTACCTTATAAGAAGAAGGTTACCTTATAAGAAGAAGGTTACCTTATAAGAAGAAGGTTGCCTTATAAGAAGAAGTTTACCTTATAAGAAGAAGGTTACCTTCTAAGAAGAAGGTTACCTTATAAGAAGAAGGTTACCTTATAAGAAGAAGGTTACCTTATAAGAAGAAGGTTACTTTATAAGAAGAAGGTTACCTTATAAGAAGTCAACTTCAAGATTCTCATGACTTAAAGTTTTTTTTTTTTAAATAATAAAATATTAATTAACATTTAAATAATATGCAATCTAAATTATCAATGTAATAATAAAGGCAATAATCAAATAATTTTTGTGTAAGATTATTTTTATCAATAAAAATATTAAAAATAAAATCTTACAATTATTATTATTTTTTCAGTCCTATATTTACTGTATTTTAAATGTTTGATTTAGTTAATATAGAAGGTATTTAAAATGTCTTCTTTAACACGCAAATGAAATATTTGAAATGTCATACAGTAATAAGTATTGAAAAATAAATAACTGTAAAAATCTTACACAAAGATAGTTCATAAATGTATTAATAATACCTTCAAACTGTACATCACTTGTGTCATTAGATA